ATTTCAGTCAATAACTATCGGTCATTAACAAAGTTGAAAATATATAAAAACAAAATTGTAATAATTGTCTAAGAACATAATATGTGTATACACAATAATATACACGGTACAATATAAATCTTAAGTATAATCTTCGTCAATGCAGTGTAATTTCTGCAAGGGTAGGCGAATCATTCGAGTGTTTTATTTCTTGTAATCGAAACTGTGAGCATCATGTCCATACGAAGACAGACTTCCACTACTGTATCCCAAAGATCCACTGGACAGGCTTCCGGAACCGTATGATGACGCTCCGTAACCGATGGCTGAAGATCCAAGTCCGTAACCGGATCCGTAGCTGGAACCGTAGCTGGAACCGTAGCTGGAACCGTATCCGGAACCGTATCCAGAACCGTATCCGGAACCGAAACCAGAACCGTATCCGATTGCAGACGATTCAAGTCCTGCGCTGTAACCGGAAGAGATCAATGGTGTGGCTTGTTGGACGGCGGGCACGACGACTGGAGTGGCCACTGGTACTGGGACTTGTTTGACGACTGGAACTGCGTATGGCTTGGATACTGGAACTGGCACGTCACGGACTACTGGGACTGGGTAAGGTGATGGTACTGGATGAGGAACGGGTCTGTCGACTGTGTACGGGACAGGCCTTTCGACTGGAACTGGGTATGGGGCGGGTACATTGACTGGGTATGGTTTGTCGACTGGGTAAGGCACTGCATGTGGCACGGGAACGGCAACGTCGTGAGTTACTGGCACTGGGTATGGGGCGGACACAGGTTGGGCATGTCGGTTGATGATGTGCACTTCCTTGGAGATTGGAACGATGGGGCCGGTTGTCGGTGCGGGAGCAGCAGCGGCAGCAGAGTATCCTAGACCAGAACCGAAGCTCGAACCGGAACCGTAGCCAAGACCGTAGCCGGAGCTCAGGCCGGAGCCGTAGCTCGAACCGGAACCGTATCCCAGACCGTAGCCGGAGCTCAGGCCGGAACCATAGCTCGAACCGGAACCGTATCCCAGACCGTAGCCGGAGCTCAGACCGGAACCGTATCCCAAACCGGAGCTGTAGCCAAGACCGGAGCCGTAGCTGAGACCCGAACTGTAGCCAAGACTGGAGCCGTGGCTGAGACCGGAGCTGTAGCCGAGACCGGAAAGTCCTAGTCCTGAACCGAAACCTCCCAAGCTTCTCTTTTCGTGTTTGGTCGTCTTCTTGTCGGCGCTGGACGCATCGGCCCGGACGAGGGCTACGACTGCCAAAGTGACTAGAGCTGTTGCCTGTTAGCACACAAAGTCATAAACGATTAAAATGACATTTAAATTTCAGAATATTATTGTCAGCTATAAATTGTGGACTAAAGATTACGGATTTTAGTTGTTGTACTTACGAATTTCATGTTGAGTGTTGTTTTTTGGAAGTGATCCCGTTGAATGATGATTATTGGACACGGTCGGT